AGTACACATTAGGCTTCAATTTCCTTAGCTATACAGTAAAGCAATGGACTTACAATTTTTTTTTAAGTTTTTTGTTTGTTTTTGTTTTTGTTTTTGTTTGCCACAGGGCACATGTGCTCAACAGAGTCAACAGAGAGAGAGAGAGAGAGAGAGAAAGTGATAGGGAAGGTGAAAAATAACCCTGTGGGGGAATGGCAACACAGCAGTCCCTTTTCCTCTGTTCTCCTCCTGAGATTTTGGGCATGCATGTATATACACCCAGCATGAGTTTAAAGCCACCTGGCATGGGACTCCAACCATGGTCAGCTATGTGGGCATCCACTGCCTTAACCACTAGGGCCACCTGCTGGCCCACGACTTAGAATATTTCTAACATTTTTTATCCCTGATCTTTTATGATCCTAAACATTTTTGCTTGCATTGGTTCTAGTGACCCTCAAATTTACTGTGAGAAAGGATAAAAGTTATTAATAATTCCAGTTACAAAGATAGAAACCAAAGTTCATAGAAGGTAAAATGATTTATCTGAAGTCACTAGGTCAACATTTATGAAGTTCAATTAATATTCCTCTATAAGGACAGCTATGATTTGTAACCATCATCTCTCACTTGTAAGACCAAAACTTTCATGTCTAGTTTCTGCAGATGTAGGCAGGTGACAGAGCTCTGATGAGTCCTCCAGCTTGCAAAATTGCTAGCTCTTGAAGAGAGTCACCTTACCCAAAGTACTACCCACTTCCAAGGACAGCACACATCCATATATGGACAACATAGGGGCAGAGACCCAGCCCTGTTCATAAGTGTGGAAGGACCTGAGGGTGTTCTTGGCTCCACAGCTTTCTGTGGGTTTCACAAATGCCACTGTGATTTTGTCTCACTTCAACTCCTGCCTCTACTTCATCCTGCTTTCTCTACTGCCCCACAGGGGTTGGTTGATCCAATATGTTTTATGCACACACATACTTATTTCAGAGAATCTTTGTCAGAGACTCTAATCTGCAAAACTTTAGAATCCTTCTATGTCTTTCTTTGTAAGAATAAAGATGAGAAGACTAGAGAATACAGTGCAAAGCAGAGATCAGCTTATACTTAATATTTTTATACAATGATCAAAGTAAAGTCTCATTTTAGGCTTATTTTCAATTTATGTTTAGAATAATAAAGTGAATAAAATTTACTGTCTTAAAAATGATAACCTTTATAGAAATAAATAAATTGAATTTTAAGACTTAAAATTCTACATGTTGGTGTCTCCAGATGTTGATTATACTGAAAATGAGCCAACTGCAATAGCGGACATATTTTGTTTCTGCTTAAATTAATCTTGACACTTTGAATGTTTATACAAATCCTCAGAGTAGTAGCTGTAACCTTGGGAAGAGACTGTATCTATGTACATTGTTGATCTACACAATGACTAGGAAAATCATTCTTTATTACCAGAAGAAAGTGTGCCATTAGTCAAACAGTTTCTTCTCTGTCTAGCCTAGATTTTAAATAAACCCAGGAAGGGGGTATCACATTTTTGCTAAGGATTCATGACAGTTTAGGGACATTTTAAATAGAAAAGAATATAAAAGATCAAGGTTATGTCATTGTTACTTCTAAAGAGAAGCTTAATGTTAAATATAATACCAAGAAAAATTTAATGATGTGGATTTAAAGTAATGAATACATTTTTACCTCAGTTTAGATGCTGATTTTGAGAGTCATATTTGATTTAGCCTTTTTGGATCATTTAGATGTTTTAAAAAGCATGACACATATCCACCAAATTAGATACTATTTGCTTTTCTTTGACATTTGGTCAACTACAGTATGTTGTTATATTGGTACTTATTTCTTTGAAAAAAAATTCATAGAACCTTGAACAAATAAATACTAAATGTAAATAACTATGTTATTATTTTCCATATTAGTTTGATAGGACTGCCGTTAAGTACCACAGACCAGGTGTTTTAAACACCAGAAATTTATTTCCACGTAGTTCTGGAGGCCAGCAATCCCAGATCAAGGTGTAACAGAAGTGGATTCTCCTCAGGCCTCTCTCCTTCCCTGGCAGATAGCCAGCTGTACCCTCGTACAATCACTCCCCAATCTGTGTGTTTTCTATGTGCTACTCTCTTCTTATATGGACACCAGGCATACTGAATTAGAGACCAATGATATGACCTCATTTTACCTTAATCACCATTATTTTTCTTCTTTTAGCTTTGCTATAGATCACCTGTGCTCACGAGAGAGCGAGAGAGAGAGAGAGAGAGACACCACCCCAGGTAGGATGATCAACTGTAATCCTTTCTCCTCCATTCTCCTGTCAGGATTTTGGGCATGCATGCACATATATTTGAACTGAATTGTTTCTTAAGCCTCCAGGTACAGGACTCTAACTGCAGTCAGCTATGTGGGATCTAGCTGCCTTAACCACCACACAACCAGCTGGCCCCTTAGTTATCTTTTTAAAGGCTGTATCACCAAATACAGTCATATCCTGAGGTATTAAATGTTAGCATTAAAAAATATAAATTTTGATAAGACACAGTTCAGCCCTTAGTAATACATATGAGGTAACTTCAAGAATGTTTGTGGATAGGTGGAAGTGAAGTACAAGTTTATTTTGGTACAAAATTGCTTAAGTCTATGCATTTTTCTCATAATATGTATTTTCCATGACCTTTTTATTATTTATTTATTTAAATTTTTGCCATAGGGCATGTGGGCTTGCTGGAGAGAGAGACAGTGAACAGGAAAGTGAGAAATCATCCTCCAGCCCCGGGGAATGACCACACTCCAATCCCTTCTCCTCCATTCTTCGGTTGGGATTTGGGCCACACACCCCCGCCCCCCCAAGCCCAGTGTGATTTTCGGATCACCAGGTCCAGGATTCAAACAGTGATAGACCATGTGGGAATGCAGCACCTTAGCCACTACACCACCTGCTGGCCCATTCTTTGACTTATTTAAATACTGTTCATATTTGAGCACCATATCAATTTATTGAAAACATTTAATGGGCAGGTCCTATAGAGTACTGGAAATATAAGATATTAATAGAATGTTCTTGTTTTGAATAATAACTCTGATATTCACTAATTAGTGCTCATCTGAAGTGAAAACCATTAAGTTTTTTCCCTGATGGGTATAGGATGCCTAGAACAATTACATGGTGACACCATGAAGAATACGTTATTTAAAGAAGAGAGAATTCAGTTAAGTTTGACATGACCATTGAAACCTTCTGAAGGAAATAGACCTCAGCTGGGAACCTAAACATAAATAAAATGCAAAGAGCTGAAGAGGAAAGAAAAGGGAACTTCAGGAAAGTAAAATTATGTTACCATGGGGCCAGCAGATGGCATGGTGGTTGAGGCACTGGACTCACACATGACTGACAATGGTTTTTAGTCCAGGACCTGGTGGCTTGAAACACACTGGGCACATGTGCATTCATGGCAAAATCCCAAGGAGAAGGATAAAGAGAAGAGATTGCCTGACCATCCTCTCTGAAGGGTGATTCTTGCTTTCCCTTTCACTGTCTCTCTGATGAATACATGTACCCTAAGGCAAAATAAATAAATAAATAAATAAATAAATAAAAGTAACCAATGAATGAATGACATATATATGGACAAAGAGCATAATACAGTGAAAATACATACAGTGAATAAATCAGTCTGGCTAGAGTGAAAGGTCATTGAAAGTATTCTGCAATGCAAAGCTATTCTAAGAAGACTATACTGGCCACAAAGTGACACTCAGGTGATGGTGTTAAAACTCAGAGGATGATAGAGAAGCAAGAGTTACTATGAAGGAAGTGGAAATTCAGCAATTATTTTGAGTATGAGAACTATATAAGAATTCTCAGAATATTCTAAGATGACTGGTGCAGATATAAGTGTTAAATATTATAAGATGACTGATGAGATATAAACATGCTATATATAGATCAACGACCATTTTTACTGTGTATTCTAACATGGTCTGATAATAGTGAAAATAGTGAAATTATGACAATAAACTTTTCCAAATGGTTAGTTGTAGGAGTAAATGTGTTTTCTTCCTATCTGAAGGACATAATCCTTTTTGTAGAAGCTCATTATATTTCTTTAAAGAAATTAGTACAATTTTTTTTATATACTATTCTAAAAAATGACTACAAAGGTAGTTAGAATAGCAGAATATTAAATATAGGAGACAACAGAGAGGTTATTTAAGCAGTTCACTTTTTCACATATAATTTCACCAGGTCATAGAAAGTTTAAATTAAATATATTTATATGAATGAATTAATAAAGCCATCAGAATACTACATGGCTCATAAGAACTGCTTAGTAAATACTGGCTAGAGTTGATATTTTAATTATTATCACATTCATATTCCCTTCTGCACAATGATATGTGAAGAAATACCTGTAGGTGAAAGCCCTTAAAGTATACGCTAAGTAAGTTTATGTAAGTATCTACTTTAGAGGTGGGTGTATACTCATACAAATATTTTTATATAATTGCATATTTCTAAGAGCACTTTTAAATATAGATAAATTGAAGCAATTTCAAAAACTCAGATGCATGAAAAAAAATAGTCCCTATTTGTCTAAGGTAGTATTTCCTATGTTTCACATGTAGAGTAAAAACATGAAATAGAAAAAAAGGGCATTTCTGCAGAGTAAAATTATGTAACCAATGACATATATATGAACAAAGTATATAGTATCATGCACAGATAAGGTTGTGTGAATATTGAGAAAATATTATCAGTATTATTATCATAGCTTTTGTGAGCAATATTCAAGTAGACATTTGAGATTAATTGCCTGTGAATAATTTCTATTTTATACATGACAACATATTCATTCTCTATACTTTGTCTACTCTCAAAAACAATGAATTCCTTAGTAGCAGACCCTGTATAAGTGCCCAAATGTGATTCTCAGGAGGTACAGGTTTATAGGGAAGTTTACATGCACCTAAGGGATTCTTAAATAAAAGGTGATTATTACCTGCTTGGATTTGAGGCCTGGATTGTTATCTTCAGCTGTAGCTGTGAAGGAGCAGCTGCCTATGGGCAGCTCCATGCTTTTCTCACCAAGCATAGGAAAAGCTAAACCATCTGGGGGTCCTGTTCTTCAGCTTGGCTTAGTGTACTCAGAAGAGTCCAACTTTTCTGGAAAGACATTCAGAATGTTGCTTAATTTAGCAATTACTGTGCAAGTTGGGCATGCCACATCGTACAGTACCATATATTTTATAGCTTTAAAGCAGCATATTTACTCAGGAAAATAAGCAAATAACTAAGTGACAGCATGTTTGAACCTCATAAGGCCAATACTTAATTTTGAATATTCCTATTAATCATGTTATCTAAATATTCAAAGATTTCAATAGTAGGTTATCTGAAACATTACGCTAAGTAAGTTTATGTATCTACTTTAGAGGCTGGTGTCACTAGATAACATCATACACTTCAAATCTGGTTGTTAGTAAACAGGTTGGACAGCTTGGGAACTTGCCAGGTGCCTCCTCTGCCCTGTTGCCAACCCATAAAAACAAGCAAGTTATATAAATGGTCTAGTTCTGTTCAACTTATTTTATGCTGCAGTGCTTTAAGGACAGAACACTTAATGAAACTTAATGAAAGATAGCTTAGCTATGCTTTCCAAAGTCAGTTGACTAACATTAGCACATTTAAGAAGTCATCCGTTGTATGATGCTGACCTTGATCCTGATGCATAGATATAAGATGACATATTTGTCAGAGCACCATGTTGGCTGCCAGCTGGCATCAGGGGAACCTTCCACAGTTAGACACAACTGTCAAAGTTTACTGCATTTGCCTTTGTGGGTTAATGCATCCTAGAGAAGAAACAAGAAATAAACAAGGGGTATAAGCAGTTCTTCATAGTGCTGACATATATGTAATAAAGTGCCTCCTATAAAGTAATTCTTACACTTTAAAGTAATTGGTATACAAAGATAGAACAGATGCCACTTATGTTACCCAAACTTAAAATCTGTCCTACTGACCGTTGGAGTGTAAGTCCTTTGGATCAGAAAGGAAAATAGTGTTTTTTGTGTGTATCCAGATACCACCCTACTTCCAAACAGAAATACACTTTGGTTTACTTTAGGAAGACTCATCCTTCCTAAAGATAATTCTTCCTATAAGTTACAAAAACAAACATTTTACAGTTTTCACTAGTGTATATTCAGAGGTAGATCATGTAATGTCATTTTTTTTAACTTTGTTGAGCATGAAACCCATATCTACATTTTATAAGTTTTCTTATACTAAAAATTGACTTCTAATTTTAAGACAATATCCCCAAAACTGAAGTATTAGACATAGCCATTTGACTGAAACTGTTATGAAGAGCCTTAAGAATACCTTGCCTTTTACTTTTTTTATAATACATTTTCCAAAGCACAACCTTTTTTTAGCTTTCATAATAACTCTGGAAATTGTAAATTGCACAAATGACTGAGACTTTGAGGACAGAGATGGAACCTATCGCTATTTCACTAAAATTTTTCTCCCTCATATCCTTATGTTCAAGTCCTAATTCCTGGTCCCTCTGAATGTGACTGTACTTATATTTGGAGACAAAACTTTTAACAGGATAGAAAAATGAGGTTGTTAGGGTGGATCATAATCCAGTCTGACTAGTGTCTTTATAAGAAGAGTAAACTGGACAAACAAAAAAAGACACCACTGATACATGTTCTCAGAGAGGTGATCATGTAAAGAGGCAGCCAGAGGGTGGCCATGCAAGCTGAAGACAGAAGCCTGGAACAGATTTATTCTTTATGTCCGTAAGAGAAGATAAACAAAGCCAATGTTTCGATTTTGAACTTCCAGCCTCCCACTGTCAGAAAATAAGCATCTGTTGTTTTAGCCATCCAGTCTATGGTTCTTTGTTATGACAAACCTTACTTAACTAACACAGTTCCTCAGTATCTGACACAGTAACTCCTGTGATGTTGATGTTCTATGGCTATTAATGATTGAGTGTCTTGATGGAGGAAACTGTCTCTTTTATCCCAGTCCAAAGTATCTGAATGAGATCCTGTATAGCCTCTTTTTCCTCACTCTTTTCCTGAACAATCTGACTGAGTTTATGGAATAGTTGGGAGTGAGACAGGTATATTTGGGTGCTGGTATTAACCTGTACAGTTCTTGTCCTGTTCTCTTCTATCTCCATAACAGATTTCTCAGAAAAATCTGATTTTCAGATATTATTTTGCTCTCAAAGTGTTTTTGGCGTAATGACAACCACAGAAGAAATAGCAGAAATTGTATGGATTAGTGGAACATGATATAATCTTTTTTTTTCCTGTTTTTTGGTTTTATTTTTCTTTTTTGTGTCTCAGAACTTATAAAGGTTTTATGTGTAGGAAGAGAGCTTTGGCTCTCAAATATGTTCCTCAGGAAAAATAGTCTCAGTCTTCACCTTTAGATTTTGTGATATGCTTCCAGGGGTGTGCATTCTTATAACCAACAAAAGGAAGTTTCTGAGTTGGTTTCTAGAGAATAAAAACTTCCATCTGGAATCTAGTAAAACTAGTCATTCAACTCACTTGAGAAAACCAGCAGTTTGACATTTAAAGTGACCACTTGAAATTTTTATTTTGCAGGTCACATTGGTCTTGAAGACAAACTGGTGAGGATTTTATAAATCTACAAATCATAACCATCCAATTATATTTTACTGTGAATGTGATTATTTTTGGCAATTGTGACAGGAAGAACAAAATCTAAGTATGAACAAACAATTACATTTCTTTTCTTGCTTTAAGCCATGTGCACTCACCAAGGGAGTGATGGAGACACAGAGACTGGTGAGAAGGAAAGTGAGAAATCTGCCCCTACATACCCAGAGAGGATGGCCACATTGCAAACCCTTCTCCTTCATTCTCCTCCTGGGAACTTGGCAGCATGCACACACATGCACATCCAGTGTGTTTCAAGCCACTGTGTCCAGGACTTGAACCACAGCTGTTCATGTAGAAGTCCAGCAACGTAACCACTACGCCATCTGCTGGCCCTACATTCCTTTTATAGGAGTCTGGCTATGAATGCCACTTACAGTTCACAGATCTTAAATTCTTTTTGCAGTGTTTGCCTTAAGTAAGAGAAAAGGGGCTGCTCTGTTTTTCATTTGGGAAGTCAAAACTAGAGCTCAGGTAAAAATGAAGTGCTAATTTTCACCAGAAATGGCAGGGGGTTTTTCCTATTTTCAATGAACATATCAAGCCTCTGAGTAGAACATACTTCAATGCATAATCTATAGTCTTAACCCTTATGCCTTTTTCATGTTCTATTATACTGAAAGAGTATGGTCATGTTAGATATGGGTTTGCACAAGATAGGATTACTGGGAATGTATGTAATAATGTGGAGTGCTGATATGCTATGCAATAATAAAACAGCAATTATTATGGAGATTAACACTACCTAGCTAAAATTATTTCTATTTTTAATAATACTAAGAATCAAGTATAGGCAAGAAATTAAGTTTTACTAAATCACTCCATGCAGGTTTTGGTAGAACAGAAAAATGAACTCATGAACCAGTGTTAAGAAACACTTCTTTCATTTTAAAAGTTCTTGTACTTCAAAAGATATAATTATTGTTGAAAATCTTTGAAGAATACTTTCAACATTGTGTATTACAATTTGCAGATTCAGCTTTGAGAGTTAACTATTCGCCTAATAGCTATCACTGATTCTGGTTTTTGAAGTGTTTTTTCCTTCTCTATCCTTTCCTACTTAGCTATAAACATACTGGTTCAGCTACTTCTCTTCTTCATTATTATTTAAAAAAAAAAAAACTTTCATCTTCCTGACTCTGTTCTAGAAATGACATATCCTTTCTAAGACTGTCAGATTTATCTTACCAGAATATTATCATCAAAAAATAAAAACTCATTCTCCAGTGGTAAAAGTTAAACTTATAAATTGCATGGCAAAATATAATCACAGCTTCTTCAACTGAGTCTATTATCTTTTCTCAGGAAAAATCACTTGTTTAATTACTGTTTATGGGTATAAACTAAAAAACTGCTTAAGTAAAGGAGCACAATTTTAAAATAGAACTCAATAGTAATTCAGAGGAAAACACTCCTACTGGCAAACATATTGTAATCAAAATCTCCCCCAAGTTGCCCTTAACTATTCCAATTCCACTATGGTTCCCGAAATTTGTATTCAAGTATAGAGGGGATTTTAAGAAGTTCTTGAACAAATGGAATTAAAGTACGAGTGAATTTTGGTACAAAAAATGTATAAATCTATGCATAGTTGTTCATAATATTCTTTCTTTCCAAACTTTTTGAAGATTCCTTCATACACTGCCACCACCACACTTAAATATCCCATCAACTAATACATTCTCCTTAGATTATCCAGAGCAGGGGACAGCAGGTAGTATAATGGTTAAGGCACTGGCACGTGTTCAACAGCAGTTCGAGTCCTGGACCGAGAAGCTTGAAACTCACATTGAGTACGTATCTGTGCATGCCCAAAATGGAGGAGAAGGGATTGTGGCATGATCGTTCCCTCTAGAGGGGAGGTGATTTCTTGCTTTCTGTCTCTTTGTTTCTCCAGTAAGAACATGTGCCCTATAGCAACAATTTCAGGGGCGGGGGGAGATTACCCAGAGCAAGTTAGATCATTAAAAGCATTATTAGTATGTTTAAGAATATATACAAAGCACAAAACTAAATTACACATAGAAATTAGAATATTTATTCAAATTAAAACTTATGTAGGATTTCGAGACTCAAAGACTCTTTTGCTTAGCAGTGCCTCATATATTTTGATTTCTAGATCAGGTTCTCAAATAAAATGGGGAAACTGTAGATTGACACTCTTCCTGAGGTCAATAACACTCTCAGCTCTTCCAGATTCCACTTTAGGTATTTCTATGCATATGTGGATTACAAGTTAGTCTCTTCTAAATCATGAATTGGACCACTCTTCAGTTTCCTTGGCCCTATCAGCCTGTCAGACCCAGATATAGGGTCTATTTTCCTAAGTAAGAAAGAACATTTTTCTGACATGCATTACTTGTAGTAGACAGCAGAAGTAGCTTTAATTTCTGGCTCTCTTTTGTATCCATGCCCTTTCATGGATAACTTTGTAATCCCCACTTCCAACTTTGATTCTGAGCTCAGTCAGTCCTGAGACTTGCTTTCGCCATTTGGATTAGTTAGAATGATACCTACAGAAGACAGTAAAGTGCATGTGAAATTGAGCTTGCTCTCTCTCTAGTCCCCATTTCATCTCCATGAGAATGTGTGGGCTATCTTTTTGGAGCAGACATGTGGAGTAGACGTAACGTTATTCTGTTTACTCAGGTTAATCTTCGGATATTTTAGTGAGCTCATCTAAGATCAGCAGAACTGCTTATTTGTCAGCATAAATGTGTGTCATAAATGCCTATATCACACTAAGTTTTTGTGGGGGTTACATAGCATTATTATGACAAGAGATAGCTCATAGGCTCCTCTTCTGCTTTACTCAGATTTCAAATTAGCTAGGAAAAATTATATAGCCGTCTATGGCAAAGCTTACACAATAATGAAAGGTACAGACTAGATAAAGTTGAACCTTTCTGTAAATAAAAAAGACAACATCTGGAGTAACTCTCTTATCTTGCAATCTTGCAAGATAAAGGATACAAAGTGAGAACTGCTTTATCCAGCAGTTTACATTGTTAATAGCTACTTTTGCACTATAATTAGGATACACTAAAAGGAGATCCATCCAAAGTAGGAATTTTCTCAATCAAAATACAAACCACTTGATACTATGGTGGAAGAGGCTGTAAAGTAAATTAGACATAGCATCTACC